TCCAATGTGGCCTTGAACTCACAGAGATCCAGAGGGATTTCTATCTCTGGAATGCTAGGATTAAAGGTGTGAGTGCCACCATTTTCTAGCCTTTGTATCCAGTGGCTGTCTGTTCTCTGACCCCAGATAAATTTATTAGAGTACACAATATTTTGGGGAACACAATACCACCACGTGTGTGTGTGTGTGTGTGTGTGTGTGTGTGTGTGTGTGTGTTAATAGCTACTGTTCTTATAGTGTTTATTCATTACTCCTAAATGTAAATCAAGTCTTTACTTGACTGCTTATATTCCTGCCATGATCAAAATAGACTGCTGGCTGGGTGATGATAGTACATGTCTTTAATCCCAATACTCAGGAGGCAGAGGCAGGTGGATCTCTCTAAGTTGGAGGCCAGTCTGGTCTACAGAGCTAGTTCCAGGACAGTTAGGGCTATTACACAGAGAAACTCTATTTTGAAAAGCCAAAAAGAAAATAGACTCCTGATCTTATTTTTTATTAATTTTTGTTCATTTATTTTACATACCAACCACAGTTTCTCCTCCCTCATCTCCTCCTGTTCACTCTCCCACCTTCCTTCTACCCCGCCCATCTACTCCTCCATCTCTATTCAGAAAGGGGCATGCCTCCCAAGGATGTCAAGAAAGTATGGTGCATCAAGTTGTAGTACATCAAGTTTTATACTGGAAATTGGTTAGACATCAGAATCAATGATGACCATTCTCATGATCAAGTAAATGCCTTTTTTTTAATGCTTCAGATTTCATAAAACACTGTTTATTTCCTCTTTTTTTTAAACATGGTAATGTATATAGCTCAAATTCCAACACATATTTATGCTTTTGATAAATTTGTAATCTGTTTAAAGTTTGTCTTGTTTAAATACCTGCTGGGAATTTATGTATAATATTTATGCCAAGAGATCAAAATTTATAACAATTTTTATTTTTAAAACATTTTTTATATATCTGTATGTGTGTACTTGCAGAGTTTATGTGCAGCATGTGTATGCAGGTGCCAAGAGATACCAGAGGACATTTGATCTCAAGCAGCTGCAGCTAATGTGTCCTCTGGGAACCAAACACAGGTCCTCTGCGGGACAGGTAAATACTTTCTCTCCAGCTCCCTCTTTTTCAATAATAAAGTTTAATAACATTATTTTTCAAATTTAGTGGAAAACAGTGTCAGTGCTAGATCTTGAGTTAAGATGGATCAACCTTTCAAAATGTATTCAGAACTTCACTGTGGAAATGGAGGGCATTTATATCTTAAGATTTAGTAAATGTGGTCATTAGTACAAAATCATTTTGGTAGTTATTATTGGCACCAAGACAATTAAGGATTTATAATTTTCCGTTTTGCTTCGAGAGATATATGAGGGAATTCTCTTTTTATTTCTCATTGAACCTGACTGCTTGGTTGGCCAGGAACCAGAGTCTGTATAGCCTAGAGACCTAGGATAGAACCAAACATGATCATAAAAAAAGTCAATGAAATTAATCTTAAAGTTATTCTGCTACACTATTAGACAAGAAGCTAGTATAATTGTCATCAGAGAGGCTTCATCCAGCAACTGATGGAAACAGATGAAGAGACTCACAGCCAAACATTAGGTGGAACATGGGGGATGTTGCAGAAGCGGGGTGAGAGAATTGTAAGAGCCAGCCAGTCAGAGACACCACAAGAAAATACATAGAATCAACTATCCCGGTCTTACAGGGTCTCACAAAGACTGAAAGAACAACCAGGGACCCTACATGGGACTGACCTAGATATATGTTATGGTTGTGTAGCTTTGTCCTATTGTGGGACTCCTAACAGTGGGAGTGGGGCTGTCTCTGAAACTTTCGTCTGCTTTTGGGACTCTTTTCTTCCTACTGGGTTGCCTCATCTAGTCTTAATATGATGGGTCTTACTCCAACTTGATATACCCTGTTTGGTTGATATCCCTTGGAGGCCTGCTGTTTTCTGAAGGGAAATGGAGGAAGAATGGATGGAAATAGAGGGGAGGAAGGGGGGAGGGTCTGTGAAAAGAGGATGGAGGGGAAACTATAGCAGGGTTTTTCTTTTGGGCCACCAAACAGCCCCCAAATCATGTCACATAAGACAATCAGTTAGGCTAGCATCTGCCATGCCTAGGAGTCTTAGCTGGGGTCAGCTTTATAGATTCCTGGGAGTTTCCCTTTCACCAGATTTGTACTTGACTCAGAAATGCTCCCTCTTTGCAGTCATCTCTTTTTGTACTTTCTGCCTCCATCCACTCCCTAATCAGATTCCTCATGTTTCCATCTCCACCCACCCTCAGTCCACACATGGGATCTCTTCTATCCAGCCACATCACTGAAGGGGTTTATTAGCTGTAGGAATTCCCTGGGAGAAATTTGGGGGATGTTTATGTATACTATTATATCATCTGCAAATAGTGATACTTTGACTTCTTCCTTTCCAATTTGTATCCATTTGATCCCCTTTTGCTGTCTTAATACTTTAGCTAGAACTTTGAATCCTGTATTGAATAGATAAGGACCAAGTGGATAGCCTTGTCTTGTTCCTAATTTTCATTGATTTGCTTTGAATTTCTCTCCATTTAATTTGATGTTGGGTGTTGGTTTTCTATATATATTGCTTTTTATTATGTTTAGATATGTTTATTGTATCTCTGATGTCTCCAAGACTTTTATCATGAAGGGGTGTTGGATTCTGTCAAAGGCTTTTTCTAAAGCATCTAATGAGATAATCATGTGGGCTGTTTTTTTTTTCTTTAAGTTTGTTTATATGGTGGCTAACACTGGCAGATTTTCCTATGTAGAACCGTCCCTGCACCTCTGGGCTGAAGCCTATTTGATCATGGAACATGATCTTTCTGATGCATTCTTAGATTTGGATTTCCAGTTTTCTATTGAATATTTTTGCATCAGTGTTCATGAGGTAAATTGATCTATAATTCTCTTTCTTAGTTGAGTCTTGGTATGGTTTGAGTATCAGAATAACTGTGACCTCATGAAAAGAATTTAGTAATGTTCCTTCTGTTTATATTTTGTGGAATAATTTGAGGAGTTGGTATTAGCTCTTCTTTGCAAATCTGGTAGAATTTTGCACTGAAACCATCTTTCTATTTTTTTTTTCTGGTTGGGAGACTTTTATTGACTACTTACATTTCTTCAGGAGATTTAGGTCTATTCAAATTATTTATCTGGTCTTTATTTAATTTTGGTATCTGGTATCTATCAAGAATTTTTTTTTTTAGATTTTCCAATTTTATGGAGTACAAGGTTTTTAAAGTGTGATTCAATGATTCTCTGGATTTCCTTAGTGTTTCTTGTTATGTTCCCCCTTTTGTTTCTGATTTTTTTAATTTGGATATTCTCTCTCTACCTTTTAGTTAGTTTGGATAACGATTGTTCTATCTCATTGATTTTCTCAAAGAACCAACTCTTTGTTTTATTGATTCTTTGTATTGTTCTCTTTGTGTCTATTTTATTGATTTCAGCCCCCAGTTTGATTATTTCCTGGTGTCTACTCCTGAGTGTTTGTCTTCATTAGGGTTTCTATTACTGTGGAGGGACACCATGCCACAGCAACTCTAACAAAGGAAAATATTTAGTTGTGGTAGCTTGCCTATAGTTCAGAGGTTCAGTTCATTATCATCATGGTGGGAAAAATGGCGCCATTCAAGTAGACATGGTGTTAGAGAGGTAGCTGAGAGTTCTTACATCTTGACTCATGGGCAACAGGAAGTTGTCTGTTTCATTGGGCCTGGCTTCATTATATATGATACCTCAAGGCCTGCCTCCACTGTGACACACTTCCTCCAACACCACTACACTTATTCCACTACAAGGCCACACCTCCTAATATAAGGAGGATACTTTCTTTCAAACCACCACAGTGTGTTTGCATCTTTGCTCCACAGCTTTCAGACATGCTATTGAGTCACTAGTATGAGTTTTCTTCAGATTATTTACATAAGTGTTTAGTGCTATGTAGAATATTTTCATTGACTTCCAGGAAGTCTTTAAGCTGTTTCTTCATTTCTTCCTTGTCCCATTGGGAGTTCAGTTGAGAGTTGTTCATTTTCCATGAGTTTGTAGGCTTCCTTTAGCTTGTGTTGTTGTTGAACTCCCATTTTAATCTATGATCATCTTATTAGATGCAGACAGGGTATTATTCTAATTATTTTGTATCTGTTGAGACTTTCTTTGTAACTGAATATGTGGTGAATTTTGAAGAAGGTTCCCTGAGGTGCTGAGAAGAAGGTATATTCTTTTGTGTTTGGGTGAAATGTTTTGCAGATATCTGTTAGGTCAAATTGAGCCATAATGACTGTTATTCTGTCATTTCTCTATTTTGTTTTGGTCTAGAAGAACCTGTACATTGGCAAGAGTGGGGTGTTGAAGTCTCCCACTATTATTTTATGGGATTTGATGTGCAATTTAAGCTTTACTGATGTTTCTTTTACAAATGTGGGTGGCATTGTATTTGGGGAATAGATGTTCAGAATTGGGATATCATCTTGATGGATTTTACCCTTTGATGAATACAAAATCTTCTTCTTCATCTTTTTTGATTAGTTTTTGTTTGGTCTATTTTGTTAGATCTTTGGATATGTATACCAGCATGCATCTTAGGCTTGTGGAATTGGAAATTTTTTTCCAATCCTTTACTCTGAGATAATACCTGTCTTTGATATTGAGGTGTGTTTCTTGTATACAGTAGAAGGATGGATCCTGTTTTTGTGTCCATTCTCATAACCTGTGATTTTTTTATGGGTGAATTGAGCTCATTGATATTGAGAAATATTAATGTCTGGTGATTGCTAATACCTCTTATGTTGTTGTTAGTGTGTATGTCTCTCTGTATGTGTGTTTCCCTTCTTTGGGTTTTGCTCATGTGAGGTTATCTATTGCTTTTTGTGTGATATTTTGTTTGTGTTCTGACAAATAAAGCTTGCTTGGAGTCAGAGGGCAGCCACTAGTTAACCAGAGAGGTGTGAAAATCTGTACAGAGAGGAAACAAGAAGTGATAAGGTGAGATGGAGATAGGATCTCAGCCCTTTTGTTGAGAGGAATGGAAGAGGTAGGAAGTGACTGTGGCTGCTCCCCTGCTTTTCTGATATTTCTGGTTTTTTTCTTTATTTTATTTATTTTATTTTATAATTTAATTTAATTTTACATATCAGCCACAGATTCCCTTGTTCTTCTCCCTCCCATACACCACTCCCCGCCTTTCCCCGAGCCCACTCCCCATTCCCATCTCCTCCAGGGCAAAGACTCCCTTGAGAATTGAGTTCAACTTGGTAGATTCAGTCCAGGCAGTCCCAGTCCCCTCCTCCTAGGCTGAGCCAAGTGTTCCTGTATAGGCCCCAGGTTCCAAACAGCCAGCACATGCACTGAGGACAGGTCTCGGTCCCACTGCATGGATGCCTCCCAAACAGATCAAGCTAATCAACTGTCTCTGAAGAGATCTGAATGCTGAATCTGGGGTGAGTAGGGGTAAGGGTAAATATGATCAAAGAGGGCCTGATCCAGTTGGGGGCTCCTCAGCTATTGGTTCATTTTTTATCAGTCATGAATGTAAATATATTATACAAAAAATGTATAAAAAGAACAGAATAAAGAAAAAACTAAGTTATTGAAACACACGAACTATGAACCAATAACTTAGTTTCTTCTGTATTCTGTTCTTTCTTTCTTTATTTATTTATTTTATATATTTTTTTTTATTTTACAATACAATTCAGTTCTACATAATAGCCACAGATTCCCTTGTTCTCTCCCTTCCTGCCCCCCTCCCCTTCCCCCCAGCCGACCCCCCATTCCCACCTCCTCCAGATCAAGGTCTCCCCCGAGGACTGGGATCGACCTGATAGTTTCAGTCCAGGCACGTCCAGTCCCCTCCTCCCAGATTGAGCCAAGCATCCCTGCATAAGTCCCAGGTTTCAAACAGCTAACTCATGAAACAAGCCCAGGACCTGGTACCACTGCCTAGATGCCTCCCAAACAGATCAAGCCAATCGACTCTCTCACCTATTCAGAGGGCCTGATCCAGTTGGGGGCCACTCAGTCTTTGGTTCATAGTTCATGTGTTTCTATTCATTTGGTTATTTGTC